AAGTACTCCTTTAGAGAGATAGTTTTGTTTATTAAAAGTAATTTCACATATCACTGGGGTTCCTGGGTGGCTCAGTCAGTTAAGTGTCCAACTCTTGATTTCAGCTCAGGTCATGATCCCCAGTTGTGAGATTGAGCCCAACATCAGGCTCTGCACTGGGCATGGAGCCTGCTTTAGATTCTCAGTCTCTCTCTCTCTCTCTCTCTCTCTCTCTCTCTCTCCCCCCACGTGGCCATGCTTCTTCCCCACATGTGTGCTCACATGCACACGTGTGCATACTCTCTCAAAAAAAAAAAAACTTTTTACGTATCATTTTATAAATGATTCCTGCCCAAGGAATTTGTGTTAAAATGTTTAATATGTCATTTCTCTTTTGAACTATTCAGAATATTAAAAATACATAGTTATAGTAGAGGCCTTTATGCATTAGTTTCTTTTTCTTACATAACTTATCTAAGCATTTAAGTCCATACTAAAATAACTTAAAACTACTTAATTTGCTTGGGAAAACTGAGATGCGTAACAGATTTTTTTATCTTAATACTTTGGCACAAAGTACCCATAGTTATTATGATTGCAGAGTTAAGCATACTTTCAGAAAACTGACAATGTACAATTAAAGAAGTTCCAAAATTATCTGTTTAGACTTTGTTTCAGAGAATAAAACTAAATCTCCCTCTAACACCAATTATCTAGTGTTCTTACCCTCTAAATAAATAACTAGGTTAATCATCCTCACCCTTAAATTTGTAGAGTTCTCATTTTTTACAAGAATATCTGGCTTTCATTCCCATCTTTTAATGAACTTGCCCATGCTGAGCAAAAATATTTGAATCTAATAAATAGTTGTTCAAAACGCATTACCCTGCACTGGGATAAGATTCTTTTGTGTGTGGGTATTTAGTTTCATGTTTTAATCAGCAGCTTCATCCTGGGCTTTTTAAGATCAGAGATCTGACCTATTGCTTTGACCTTAAGACTGCACAATCCTATAATTATGATGCCCGTATATATGCAGAAGCAAAGAGCTTATTATTGTATTTATTTTTAGAATATATATAATAATCAGGTTTATGAAGGTTGTAATGAATCATTGGCTACCACTAGTTTCATTTATTAGTAAATAATAATTTATCATGATTAAATGGGATTGGATATTTTTGTTTCCATAGTTTAAAAAAACAGTAAAGAAAGAAAAACAAAATAAACATAAAATAAACTTCAATAAATATAAGTTACTCAAACAGCATTTAAAATACAATTTTGTATTTTGCAATTGCAAAATGCTTCATTATTTATATTGAGGGGGAGTTTTCCCCAAATAGCAAAATCATTTATTATATGTATTATTGAAAGTGTGTTAATATTTGGTAGCATTAAATATATAAATCAGATATTCACCTTAAATGAAACTATAAGCAAAATGACTTTGTGAACAGATGGCTTAATAAAAATAATAATTTGTACATTTTTCTCAGAGCTTTTCTTGGTAGCATAATTTTTACCTAAAATTCACTCTACTTCCATATCCCAACCTTTCATGTCCATCACAGATGCCAAATCTTCCTCGAAGCCTTTCCTAATTCTTTCTACTTCATGTAATTTCCTTCTTTGGACTTCCATTGGTTGTGTACTTAAAAAATACTTTTAGGCGTGCCTGGATGGCTCAGTCTGTTAAGCATCTGGCTCTTCATTTTGCCTCAGGTTATGATCTCATGGTTTATGAAATTGAGCCTCGCATCAGGCTCTGTACTGGCAGCATGGAGTCTGCTTAGAATTCTCTCTCTTCCTCTCTCTTTGTGCCTCCCTCACTTGCTCTTTGTCTCTCAAAATAAATAAACACTAAAAAAATTTTTAAAAATATTTTTATTATTTGTCAGTTACAAAGACTTTTCAATATTAAGCAACAGAGACTCTGATAGTGGCTTAAAAAGATAAAGTTTATTTGTTTTCACATGACACAAAATCTGGGAGGAGGTGGCTGATGGGTATATGTCAGCAGCTTAGTGGTATCAGGACCAGCATCATTCTGATTCTCTTGTTCCTTCCCATTTGATTTTAGGATGACAGCTCTTATCTGATCTTGCCAAGTTTCATCCTTACTGTTTCCCTCCTTTGGGAAGCCAGGAAAAAAGAAGCAATCATAAGAGGGGATGAAGTTTCCATGTCTTTTTTTTCCTGAATAAATGTATGTGTAACAAAATATTTTAATTCAGCAAAGTGCATCTTAATTAATAATGAGCAACATAAGAAAATATGCATTTCATTTGTAAGTAAAAAATTACAAATGGTCTGTATTTTGGAATAATTTATACTTTGTGGGGCTTTCTTAATTCTGTTGTATAAGATAAGAGAAAGAGGTTGATTTATAATTTTGTCAATTATACAATTTTCTATATTTTACAACTGTTATGAAATGAAGATCTACATTTAGTCTTTTTCAAATTTCCAACGAAAGTCCCTTCCAGCTTTTCCAACCAAAGTGTTTATGTTATATGCTTTAAATATAAGTGTTTCAGTTTCAAAATTATCATTATTTTATGTTAAATACAGAGACTGGAAAACAATACTAATAATAATACTAATATACTTCTATATTAGTGCCTTCTATATTGTGCCTTGTTAGACACAACCATTTCTTTTTTTTTTTTTTTAAGTTTATTTCTAGGTCTTTATTCTTTTAGCTACTATTCAAACAGCATCTTTTTTTTTTTTTTTTTTACAAATAGTTTATTGTCAAATTAGTTTCCACATAACACCCAGTGCTCATCCCCACAAGTGCCCTCCTCCATGCCCATCCCTCCTCCCCCCCACATCCATCAGTCCTCAGTTTTTGTTAGCATTCAAGAGTCTCTCATGGTTTGCCTCTCTCCCTTTCCCCCACCATTTCTGCCCTTCTTCTCCCCCTTGGTCCTCTGTTAAGTTCCTCCTAATCCTCCTATACGTGCAAACATATGATATTTGTCCTTCTCTGCCTGACTTATTTCGCTCAGCATCACACCCTCAAGGTCCATCCATGTTGCTACACATGGCCAGATTTCATTGTTTCTCATTGCCATGTAGTATTCCATGGTATAGATAAACCACATCTTCTTGATCCATTCATCTGTTGATGGACACTTAGGCTCTTTCCATGTTTTAGCTATTGTGGAGAGTGCTGCTATGAACATTGGGGTACATGTGCTCCTATGCCTCAGCATTTCTGTATCCCTTGGGTAAATGCCTAGCAGTGCTATTGCTGGGTCATAGGGGAGTTCTATTGTTAGTTTCCTGAGGAACGTCCACACTGTTTTCCAGAGGGGCTGTACCAGTTTACATTCCCACCAACAGTGCAGGAGGGTGCCCTAGACACAACCATTTCTTAAAACTATTATTGGCTCCTGCCTTCTTTGTTTTTCTCTTCACATTTTCTCTCTTTTTGGCAACGAAGATAGGTAGGTTTGCACCAGTTGTAGAACTAGACCACAGTGCACTATAGTAACAAACGGCCCTCAGAAGGATGTCTGCAAATGCCTGAGGTCCCAGTAGCCAAGCCTGGCCTGGATTTAAGCAGCAGAAATGCAAGGGATCCTTGAGGTGCCCTGTTGGTAGCCCCTGCCCCTCCCCCACCCCGCCTTCTTTGGCACTAGAAGGACTTAATGAGTGTCAGTGATTCCTGAGGACTCATGTTCCTTTCATGGAATGTGGATCCTTCTTGGTGATTCTGGGCTACTTAAATCCTAGAGTTGACTTATGCCTCCAGAGCTGGTGATGATTCAGAGATTGTGAGTCTCTGGATAATGGCAAAAGATTTCTTCAGATTTATCTGAATCTGTTTACAGTGAACAGAGTTTAAGTCATATAGCCCTTGAACTAAATAGTGAGTCTAAGGGCCTACTAAATTATTTCTTCTTAGCTAGGAGCCCTTTCGATGTAAATATGTCATTAATTCTGAAAAATTTAGGAGTCCAAAGAAAGCCTTTAAAAATTATTATTACAGTGAAGCCATATGGGACTGGGTAAAAATACTAATTATAAATGAAAGCTATAGATATGTTTTCAGTCTTCAAACTGTGTTAAGGTTTTAGAAAAGTATTAGGAGTAATTTGCCATAATTGGAAATGCTTTCAAGTATTTGGATGAAAGACATTTTGGTAAATATAAAGGATGAGCCCTTTAGTTAATAATAATGGTAATTATCTGACACTTTTACAGTAGGAGTTCAATGCACATTAGATACATTAAACAGGCAGCCTCTTTCCTAGATGACCAAATAGACAGGAACTGACTCATAAAAGTTCACAGGACAATTTACCAACATAATTTTAATTTCAATCTGTGACTTATTCCCAATCCAGGTTGTTTAAACCTATAAGGTGCACATTTATTAATCAACATTTATCCAGTAGTGACTATGTACAAAGCACTGATATCAGTGCCAGGTCTAAATATGAATAATACCTAATTCTGCTTACCAGAAGCTCAGAGTCTTTCTATGTTCACCTAATCATTCTGAAGCTTCCCACATGGTTATTCTGGAAGGGGTAGTAGCCTCTTGGGTTTTACCCTGCCTCCAGCCTGGGGATTTGTCATGAAATAAACATGAGAAATACGTTTTAGAAGTAGAGTTGCTTAGGTTAGTTGTGTATCATACACTAAAAACACAATGTACATGGATATTTGGGGTTGGAACATGACTTCTTTGATGTGAATGTGTAGAATGTCCATTTTGGAAATTTTCAAATGTTAAATTATTAACAAATAAAACATGCTCTCACTGTCCTTTTAAAATAATTTTCTTCTTTTCAATGAACCAATAAATGTCCCTCTGCTCTTGGGCCAGTTGGTGCTAAGCCAGCTGGTTTTTGCCACCTGGTATGCTCCCCAGGTTGACTTCCTTTCATAAATTTATTTTATGTTCATTTCTGACTTTGAAGATCAAAAGTTCTCAGAAAACTCTTTTCCCCTTTTCTGTGTAGCAGGTAATCCAGTGATCATCTGTTAACTTCCTTGTCTTCCAGAAACAGATTCCTAAATGTTGGATAAGAAGAGACCTTATAAATGGATACTTCACAACTTTCATATTCCTTCATATTATATTCCTGGAGATGCTTTATGACTCTTCAGTTTCCAACAACACTGGGCATAAACTTCTTGAAAGAATGAAATGGCTACCAACAACAATCTCAAGGTAGTAATTCTTACTGTTCATCAACTTTTCATAATACACGTTGATACTATAGTATAGCCATAGCTCAGTTAATTGGTTTTTAAAAAGACATTGGGAACAGATTGGTGGTTACCAGAGATGGGATGTGGGCAGTGGGCAGAATTGATGAGGGGAATCAAAATGTACAAACTTCCAGTTATAAAATAAGTAAGTCATGGGGCACCTGAGTGGCTCAGTCAGTTAAGCATCTGACTTCAGTTCAGGTCATGATCTCACGGTTTGTGGGTTTGAGCCCTGTGTCGGGCTCTGTGCTGACAGCTAGCTCAGAGCCTGGAGGCTGTCATCGGATTCTGTGTCTCCCTCTCTCTCTGACCCTCTCCTGCTCACACTGTCTCTATCACTATCTGAAATAAATAAAAAAACATTAAAAGGGGCGCCTGGGTGGCTTAGTCGGTTAAGCGTCCAACTTTCGCTTAGGTCATGGTCTCACAGTTCGTGGGTTCGAGCCCTGCGTCGGGCTCTTTGCTGACTGCCAGCTCAGAGCCTGGAGCCTGTTTCAGTCTGTGACTCCCTCTCTCTCTGACCCTCCCCTGCTCACGCTGTCTCTCTCTCTCTCTCTCTCTCCTAGAAACAAATTTTAAAAAAACCATTAAAAAAATTAAAAATATTTTTTAAAAAAAGTAAGTCATGGAGATGGGATATATAGCATGGTGACCATAGTTGATAATACTGTATTGCACATTTGAAAGTTGCTAAGAAAGTAGATGTTAAAAGCTCTCATCACAAGAAAGATAAATTCAGTAACTGTGTATGGTGACATATGTTAACTAAACTTACGGTGGTAATCATTTCACAATATATACCAATATCAAATCATTATGTTATATGCCTGAAACTAACGTATGTAAGCTGTACCTCAATAAAAAAAATTTTAATGTGGAATGAAAAGGTGTCCAAAACCCCACACAGATATTTGGGGTTATTTTTACCACCTTTCCCTTTTAGCAGGGATAATTAAGAGACGATTGTATGGGTGCATGTGTCTCTGGAATGAGCACATATATTTTAATGTGGGTGTGTCATGCTAGAAATTGACAATAATTCTGCTAAAACAACGAAGCTTTACCATGAAGCTCAGTCTCTAAAATATAGAAGTTGCCCATTTTCCATGTCCTGGGTTTTGTTTATCTCCTCTTTGCTTTCTACCTCATATTGGGGATTGACTAGCATCTTCACTTGGTTTACAAAGACATCAGCCTAAGCAGAGATGATTTCCTCCATTCTTACCCAGATGACTTACTATTGGTCTTTCTCTTCCATGTTTGTTAGCAAGGTTAATTGAAATTTTTACTCTAGGGATGCCTGGGTGGCTCTGTCAGTTAAGCGTCTGACTCTTGGTTTTGGCTCAGGTCATGATCACACGGTTGTGGGTTCGAGCTCAGCATCAGGCTCTGCACTGACAGCATGGAGCCTGCTTGGGATTCTTTCTCTCTCTCTCTCCCTTTTGCCCCTCTCCTGCTCATTTGTTCAAAATAAATGAATAAACTTAAAAAAATAAAAGAAAGAGTTAAACACTATTTTTTTTACTCTAAATAAAAGTAATAAAATCTTTTCCCCTTCAGTTCTTGCTAGGCTGTAAGTGGACTATTGAGAAAGAACTTAAGCAGGAAGACAATATTGTAAGATACTATACTGCTACCAATAATAGGAATGGTTAACATTTATTCATATTCTTTAACTTGCCAAAAGGTTATATTATATTTGAGTATTCTTTATATTTGACAGGAAATTTTGCAATTACATTTCTTTCCCTCGATATTGAATTTCTTTCAATGCAATTAGCCAATCAGCAAATGGCACGCTTAGTCCGTTTAGAATGCAAATCCACTGGACAATTTCTCTTGTTTTCACTAAGCAAACTAAATGTTTCCCTTTTACTTCTGCTCCTCAAAGTGTATGTCCTATGAGTTCAGAAAGAAGAACAATCCCTATCGTTTACTTTTCAGGTTCTCAACATCATTCATTTTGAAGATGAGGGTCAGCCTCTACTCCCCTCCCCTCCGGAATGTATGGTGTGATAACATGGTGCTGCTCAGGTGAAGGATCTCTTGTGATTTCCGGTTTTGTGCTTGTTTATAAAGAATTCTGGTAGGTACAAGAAGCTGGAGTACTTATCTAAAATAGCTCTTCATCCTATCTTAAATTCTCTAAGCTTTTTCTTTATTTAGGCAATATTCAGATACTTTATTTAGGCAGTATTCCCTTTAAGAGGGTAAGACAAACACCTTTATAGTGTCAAATAACTTAATGTCATACAATAAATTCTTAAGGTGCCTCGGTGGCTCAAGCCTCTGACTCTTGATTTTGGCTCAGGTCATCATCTCTGGATCATGAGACTGAGCCCCGCATCTAGGCTCTGTGCTGACAGAACTGAGCCTGCTTGCAATTCTCCGTCTCCCTCTCTCTCTGCCCCTCACCCCCACACTCACTCTCTCTTTCTCTGTCTCTCTCAAAAATAAATAAGTAAACTAAAAAAAAGCACAATAAATTCTTAAATAATGAAGCTGATTTTGACAGTTTTAAAAGTTATTAATCATGCATTCATTCTAAAAATATTTATTGAATGCCTTCCACATGTCCAGACTGCCCCAATTTGAGGATTCTAAGTATTTCTGTGATTACTGTTTTTATAGACTACTGATTCTATAGTCCATAATGTAGTCTGGTCTATTTAGGATCCAAAGCAGGGAAGAGATCAGGATTTTTCAGTAGCTCTTCAAGTCTTGTGTGCTAGTCTTTGGGATGCAAGTGGGTCCAGAGCCTTGTACAAAGTGAGCAGAGCACTCAGTAGATGTCAGTTCTCTATCCGCCCCTCCACAGGTTTTCTTCTCCTGTAGCATAAAGGAGACTTTATAATTGACAACCAAAAGTTTGTCAAAGTGGATGTAAGCCTCACAGGGTAGGGATCTTGTCTGCTTTCTTTATTTTCATGTTTCTGCTTTTCAGTGAGTGCCTGCCACCTTGCAGGAGTGTCTGAAGGCAGCAAAGATGTGCCTTCTTCCAGCTATGCTGAGACCTGTGAAAGGCATTTCTCCCCACACCCCATAGGAGTAAGCACCATTTTCTCTCCTTCTCTCTTCTCCAGCCTCTCTGGTCATCTCAGAGTTAATGGGGGCAGGAGGGAATTACTCTTTTTACAGAGATTAATAAGCCATACCTCATGTTTTCCCTCCATTTACCTCTTCTTTCCTTGCTCTCTAATTTGATTGATTTATGTTTATTTTGTTAATATTGATAATATAACCAAATACTTGAAGCCCAATTCCATAGCCTTAACTCCTAAAAAGTCTTATTTTTGACAGAATAAGAAAATTTAAATGTCTTGTTGGTCAAAGGTAAAAGGTAACTAGGGAATCGTCTGTGCCTATACTTTATTGGTGCTTTCAGTTCATCAGTTGAAGATATGGAGAATTATTAAAGAAAAGCAGGCACCTCAAACTGAAGTTTTAGCTGCACATTTTTAAGGATTATAGTGGTTCCAAGGAATGCAAAAAGTCTCTTACTACACGGTGGAGTAAGGTTTTATTACTTACACTCTGAATGTCTAATACTTGCAGAAGAAATTCACCCTTACAAAACTCCCATATGGGTTTACAATACTACTTCTAAACCAGCAATGCAATAGTGTCCACACAAAATTTTAACTAATCTGTACACCCTGAATATTCAAGCTGTTTCATATTATTTCTACTCTGGGGACTCTAGGTAGATGACAAGTTGGAGAATTACTCAGCCAGGATTCATCTGAGGAGATATAATAGATTTTGTTTGCAATTCTTTACTGCTGTCTTCATTCTCAAGAGAGAACTGAGCTGTTTGGACAGAGTTGCTGAGATGGTACAAGTACTACCTTGTACATTATGGATGAGGCTGTCTATTTTAAGCCAGGTAGGAGAAGGTAGAGTACATTAGGGGATTACTACTGGTCAAAGTTTTTTAGTTTCTTAACTCTCAGATCTAGACTCAGTAAAATGCTTCCCCAGAGGTCTAATCCTTAATTTCTTTGTCTATAAAATGGGCATAGTAGTTACACTGACTTCAAGGGTTTTCTGCAAGAATTCAATGAACTAGTAAAGTGCTTCAAGATATGTCAGGCACATAGCAAATGCTCTGTATTAGCCATTTTTCTTTTAAAGTGGTATAGCTAGACTGTATTTGCTAAACATAAAGGATCTGATTTATACCACTATTTTAATTTGCAAAGGGGCATATTCCTTTACAGGGAATAGAATACTCCCTAATACTCCCTCTGTCCAGCACCATGTGATCTGCAAAACTAAGTTTTAATAAATACCAGATTGGTGAAAATTAAATGGAAGAAAGTGAATTAGATGGCTTTAAAGGATTTTTCAAGTAAGTGTGATAAAGCCAAATGTTCCTTCTGTTTACTACAGTGAGTGTCCCAGGACTGACTACCTGTCAGGTAGTTCTGCTTTCCTTGGATGGTACTGACAACTTTCTCTCTGTCTCTGTCTCCATCTCTCTCTCCCTCTCCCTTCCTACCCTGGTTTCTCCCTCCTCAGTAGGAATCACTTCTTTCCAAGGAGGGTTTAATCTTGCTAGGTTAAGACAGCCTCAGATATTTCTTGGCTCTGGGTCTAGATTTTAGAATATCATTCCTCTGAGTCCTCTCGTTACCTGCCAAATGACCACACATTGTTCTATATTATATCCATATCTTTAATCCAGAGGGCAGAAAAGAAGTGTGAAATTTGCCCTTGACTTCATGAAGAGGGATAGAAAAATATGTGAAATAATTACTTTTCACCCACTTCTTGTTTTTTTTTAATTATTGAAGTTCAATCATACCTTTTTCATCTTAGATATAGTCTTTAATGTTATGTTTGCATATGAAAATGTTTAACTCTTTAGTTGTAATGCTCAGATGTATTTAAATTTTTGGATGTTGTAACTTTTTTCTTATGTATACTCTATATCAATATCACATAATGCTCTGCTTCAGCCATATCTGACATTAATGTTAAGGATACATAAGTGATAATGAAAATTTAATCAGTTTCCAAAGAATTTTTATTATAAAGTATTGCCTGTAAGGACAGTAGTAGAAATTAGATGCTTGGTTTGCTTTAGCCATCACAACCACTTTGATTGTGTTTGTTCCTAAAAAAATCAGTGCCTGGGAGGAGTCAAATGTTATTATTTTCTGATGAAAGAAGCCTAACTATGATTAAGTATTAGTCTATTAGGACTACAGTAACAAAGCACCATGAACTGGGTGGCTTAGAACAACAGCAACTCATCGTCCCACAGTTCTGGATGCTGGAGGTCCGAAATCACAGTGTTGACCAGGTTGGTTCATTCTGAAGGCTGTAAGGTCGAGTTTCCTCTGGGTTTTTCTCCTAACTTCTGGCGTCTTGTTTGCAATATTTGGTGGTCCTTGACTTATTGATCTGTACTTTCATCTTCACATGGCATTCTTCTTGGGTGTATGTCTATGTCCATACTACCTCACTCCAGTATAACCTCATCTTAATTAATTACATCTGCGAGGATCCTTTTGCAAATAAGGTCAATTCTGTGGTACCGGGAGTTAGGATTCAACATACTGGTTTTGGCGGGGACACAGTTCAGCCTGGAGTAATTTTAATCCTCAAATACGATTTTTAAATGCTCATGAGCCATGGGACCTGTCCCTTGGGCTTGTGTCTTACTTAAAATATATATATAAAGAAAAAATTACAAAATAAAAACAAACAAATGGACCTCCGCCAGCCAACAACTCACTGCTGGCCAGGGATTTTGTTGCTCAATTGGCCAGTTGATCAAGATAGGTTTTATTTCATAAGCACCCATTCAGAAATGATATTCTCTTACATCCTCACAAGAATCTAACACCCAATAAGTCAATGTGGACAATAAGTTATAAAAAAAGAAAAATAAAAAGTAAACAAGTAAAAGAAAATATCAAACTTGGAAATCTTCAGGTATTATATATGATCTACTTCCTAGGAAACCGTAAGGCTGCCACCCATCCTACATTCTGCAGAATTGTTCCAATCTCACCAAGAATATCTTATACCTCATGAACTTCACTTTTATATCTAAATAAATGCTTATTATTTACTAGAGTGATAAAACAAGTTATTGGTTGATGATGACCTATCACATCACCACCTCATTTTTGCCAGGCACACACTGTGAAAAATGTGGAAAACCTATCCTTAATGGTTACCTTTTACAGGATATAACATTTAAAAATAGATGATTTTTTTTTTCTTTGAGGGAGAGAGAGACAGAGACAGAGAAAGAAAGAGAGAGAGAGAATCTTAAGCAGGGTTTGCACTGGGCGCAGGGCTTGATCCCATGATCCTGGGATCATGATCTGAGCTGAAATCAAGAGTCAGATAATTCAACTGACTGAGCCACCCAGGCACCCCTAAAAGTAAATTTTTAATTTTAATTCATTGGCTATTTTTTTAAAAGGTAAAGTGGAGATGAGTGTTTTGGTTTGATAGCCAAGTTTACTGATAGGTGTGTCTTTAATAAAATTTAAGTACTCAAAATTTGGAGTACTCATTTATAATGGGAAATGGACAAATTATGTTTATCCAAATTATAATCCTTAATAATCATTTAAAAATTACTATAAATGGATGCTTTTTTTTTGGAGGAGACATCTTACTATGATATGGACAATTTTTAGTATTGTTGATGTTTGATGACTATCACCTAAAAAAAGTATATCTAAAAAATGTGCGAAGTTATTCTTACTAATAATAACAGTGTGGAGAATCTCCCAAAGCAGTGATACCCTATTAAGTGATAGCCACCACATGAACTACTACTTCCTAAAAACCTGTACTTCCTCATTTAAACTGAAAACAGTATTTTGAGACCCAGCTTGTGTTTTCACAAACAAGTAGTTTAACTAAATTAAATTTCAGAAGTTTGGTTTCAACTTTTAGAAGGCTTCTGTGATATATAGACTAGATATAGTATCTGTGACTTCTATGATATTCGAAAGCAATTTGAATTTTTCACTTTCTGATTCATGATTTTATTCTCGTGGACATCGAGTAGTGGGGCAAACACAAACTCAAAATATTCTTTTTTTAATGTTT